GTCCTTGGTTTGATCAGGGAGGTCAAATACTTGTATTTAACCTCCTTGGTCTGGCTCCAACTTTGCTTGGCCAAAGTCCAACCCTATTATTATGATACATTTGATCAAGCTAGCGGCTCCCCAATTCATTTCGGCCTTTCAAATGTCAATTTCTAACCTAAATATACATGTAGATTTTCCTAGTGTGGCATATCGGTATCTGTAATTATATAACACCAACTACGAAGTACACTGGGTGCCAAACTAGTATTATTCTAGTATCGGGCCGTTAGCCGTTTTCCTTCGGCAGCCAAGAGCCCTTAGCCCGCCTATCTATATCTAAGATCTAAATTACGGCCACGGAGGAGTTGAGCCTCAACTCGTCCGGATCCGTGGCGGTATAATTTATTTAGATAGGCGGGCGAAAGGCTCTTGGCTGCCGAAGGAAAACGGCTAACGGCCCGATACTAGTTTGGCACCCAGGGTAACTACGAAGGAAACTCACGAAAACGTCAGATATCACGTCTAGTCGAGCCGCTGGGAAGTTGCGTGGCGTTTTCAAAGGGTGAATCAGGCAAGAGGTCAACAGCGGTCAAAGTTCAGTGACCTCCAAGTAGGTCAGCAATAATATTCACCTGATGACCCACTTCTGATCGCGATGTCAGCGCTAACCGGTCATGCATAGCGAAACATTTTAATTCACCGTTAATCGTAGTCAGCCCGCCCTAATTCAACGCTAAGCTTTGCGTTGAGATTGAGTTTTCCTAAATAGAATGTATTTGATCGCATAAATTCTACGTTGCACGTTTTTTTTTTGTGATCCCTAAGGCCAAGTTGATTTGATTATATGGATGACATCCACGCGCGCATGAATTTTCGTCCATTAAAAAAAAAAATTGACCATACTGTAAATCGTGCAAATTGAGTGAATATGTCGTATGTTGCAAAAAAAAAGTATTGGAAAACGATACTAACGTCATAGAATGCCGAAATCAATTCAGCAAAAGAGGAAAATGTGAAGAAATGAAAATATGAAGAGTCTAGTATTATTCGCCATATCATACTGGGTCTTACTAGTCATTTGTTAACCTTTATGACCACATAGATTTCATAATGAGGGCAACTTCACAATAATCACTATTGTTAAGTTGCGTCATAAAGGAATAGAAATATCAAACGTACGTCACCCATAGGATACAGGTCATTTAAGGATACGGGTCATTTAAGGACAACGAATTCTTTTAGTGATGTCACAAAGAATGCCACAACAACAACAACGGAAAGATGATGCCACAAAAACAACAACAAAGAAAAGAAAACACTCCTGAAGTTTTACGACTGGATAAAGTGGGCCGGACATGTCCTCTTACCATTGGGAGGCTCAGAGAAAGCAGAAGGTGTTGGATAAGCGGTGTTTGACGGTGGAAAGCAGCTGTGGGGGCTCCGAGGTGGCGTCCGCCCGGGAGGGGGGCTCCGCTCAGTCCAGCCAGGCGTCTTCATCATGCAGTAGGTAGGGCTGATCACGTTAAATATGTTTACCGAAGGAAAAACAATATAAGGAAAAACATATTGTTCCTCCTCTTCTTCTCCAAACACTAACCTATGGCCTGATTTGTTGACGTCCCTCACCATAGTAACTGGTGTTGGGTTACATCATGTTGCAATTTTACAGCAGGAGGGATTTATATTCCTGTCTGGCCATATTTTGTAACCATATTTGTTGTGCTGTTGTAGATAATTATGTTTATTATGTTTACCGAAGTTAAACATATTGTTTTTGCTCTGTTTCCTCTACTTCTTCTCCAAACAAATAAGGTCAATGACCTGAACCAGACCTCAGTCACCATGGTAACTGGTGTTGGGTTACATCATGTTGCAATTTTATAGCAGGATTTAGACTCTTGTCACATGAGATGGTGTGTTTGGATAAGAATTAACAGAGCATTACTACCAAGGTTGAAAAATAGGGAAATCCTGAATGATGCCGGGTAAACATTATATATTTGCTTTGCAAATGTTACCTTTCTAGTTTCATTTTCATGTTCTAGACTTTTTTGTTCTAGAACGTAGCAAAATTTTGATGGCGTCATAATCTCAGATGTAATTCTGAATTTTTTTCTGATTCTTGTTTTTTTTTTTTGGCGTCAACTCAGCTGCAGTGGCGGTTCCTCTGTCATGACCGGGAGCGCAATGTCAACCCCACCCCCCTCTCCCACACCACCGGAAACCAAGAATGACGCACTTCCTCTCGACAAGGAGCTGCAAAGGAGGCTGGGAATGTTGGTGAGGAGAGAAATCAAGCAGCCAATGAGCAAGATGGAGAGGAGGAACTTGTTGAAAGAAGCTGACGGCTTCCATCGCGCCATGTCCCGACGATCTGCCAAGTTGCCCGGCCGGTATACTTCACTGGACTACGCCCAACAGTGGTGATCAGTCGGAGAGAACTGCGTCGCCGTTATTTTTTTTTTCGCTAAATTTTTCGCTAAATATATTTCTTTAAAGAAATATATTTGTCAATTATCACGTAACGTACGGTCTCGAAGCTTTTTTGTCGTTGTTGTTGTTGTTCCAGCGTTAACAAAACACACAAAGTGGCCACTCTTGTTCTAGAATAGAACAAAAATACACGAAAAATAAACGCTATAGTCACAACAAGGAGTTCCGTGTCAATAAAGTTCTCTATGAAAATAACAAAACAAGAAACAAATCAATTAACTGTCAGCCACTCTCGTATCGGAATAGCACAGCCTGACACATCTGAATACAAACCTATTTACAATGTACTAGTATATATATCAGAACATGGTACAATATTTCAATGCGCTGTGCAACATTTCTGAACTTGTCTTTCTTTCTAAGAGTCCAACTTCATCCTTCATACCGTATCTGGTTTTAAAATCATAGATTCGTCAGAAATAGTTATTGGTGAGAAAAATGCACTTTCCGATTATTATTCTCCTTTGCTGATCAAATTATTCTATGATAGCCGTTCTGTACCGCCATGGTGCGTGTAGATCAGCAGTTTTTTTTTTCAATATTCCAACAAGTAATCACAAGACGTACGTGGTGACAGCACACTTTTTCAACTTATATTAATCTTAATTTAATGCCGCCACCAACACAGGGGACAATACATTACTCATTTTCACCTGGGCGAAGTGAGGAAAGTCGTGTTAAGTGCCTTTCCCAAGGGCACAAGATCGGTGGCATGTCAGGACTCGAACCCGGGACCTCTTGATTCGCGCACTCTGCCGCTACGCCACACGACCCCAAATCAGTAGTTGCAGTACCTTCGCCCTTACCAGGCGGCGCTTCACGGGTACTACTAGTATGCTCAACGCGGAAACGAGGCTTTACAAACCAACATGGCAGAAATGGACGCTTTGTTTGGCAGCGATGTCGACAGTGAAAACGAGCAAGCAGGTGAGTTTGTGAGAACATAGAGACCACACATTGCCGCACGAAGTCTGTACGCACAGTCTAGAACTGTCTCCAGTGAACTTGTCAACTTTTTTGTCGTATAAACGGTAGGAAAATGGTGTCGGAATAAGTTGTGGTTAGAGGGGGAGGGGGGCGAAAATTTGCGGCATGGGTCCTTTCGGTAGCATGTTTGCTAGCCAAGTTTGAGATATAACGTTAAATCTAGATGTTGGATTGTACTCGGGAATATATAATAGCACACGAGGCTCTAGAGTAGTTTGCTAGTCCTTTATAACGAGTGTTATTCACTGTAGTAGAGTGCAGGTAAAATTTATGTGGTGTATGACTATGAAGTTTTGAATGCCACCAGCACTTGTGCAGGTATGCAGAAATAAGTGTCTATTGCCCTTCATACGAAGAGTCTATATACAAAACCTCACACTTATACATGTATCTGTTGAATTCTGAATGCCAATTTGGACTTTCCCCATATCTTGAAGCTATAGCTTGTAAAATGTAATCAAACTTGGTAAGGGTAACCGTTATATTTCTAAAACATAAGACCAATGGGTTATAAAAATCTTTGATATCCAGATATAAGAATATTCCAGTTTCCTAAACCATATGTCTGTCACCATGGTAACTAGTGTTGGGTTACATCATGTTGCAATTTTATAGCAGGAGGGATTTAGACTCCTGTCCAACCATATATATGAATGTGTTTAACAGAGAATTAACCAAGCAGACCATATGCGAAGGTAAACATTATGCATTTGCTTTGCAAATATACCTTTCTAGTAATGATAGTACTACTAGTATGTAGTATGTTTCTGAAAAAGCTTTTTTCATTCTATAGATGGGAAAGCCTCGCGGTCAGGTAGTGACAACGAAGAGGAAACTGGCAACATGAACGAGCTGTTCGGTACACAGCTGCCCAGCGACAGCGAAAACGAGGACAGCAGAAGTCACCAGTCAGGGAGCGTCCAGTCGGAGAGAAGTCGGTCCAGATCACGATCCAGATCACAATCCAGATCCAGATCTCCATCTAGATCCAGGTATCAGTGTTAGAAATACCATCTGTGCATATGCCTCTCGGTCTACACCAGGGGTGCCAGAGTATACAGTGCAATTTTGTGGAATACATTGCAATTTTACGGAATACAGTGCAATTTTACGGAATACAGTGCAATTGTGTTGTTATATAGTGCAATTTAATGGAATACAGTGCAATCATATTAGTATACAGTGCAATTTTATGGAATACAGTTCCTAGTAAAATTGCGCTGTATTCGGTTTTACTAGGAACTGTATTCCATAAAATTGCACTGTATACTAATATGATTGCACTGTATTCCGTAAAATTGCACTGTATACTCTGGCACCAGTGTACATGAAACGTTGTACATGTAGTTGAAATGTTATCAACCCTTTAAATTTACACAGTGTTAGAATACCCATCTGTAGTCTGCATTTTGCAGAGACATTTTCGATATTGCAGAAAAAAAATTCAGCAACCTGCAATTTTGCAGACTGAAAAAATCAGGCTAGGGGTTCAATGGTGTTTAAGACCTTTTGTGTTTAGTACTGACTTTACGATAATAATTATATACAAGTAGTTTTGCATGTATTTTTCAAATTACATGTAAAATATTTGCCAACAATGCAATTTTGTATATGCCATGGGTTAAGATCTGGACTTTCAAGTATCATGTATTTGCAGAAAGTGTTTTCGAATTGCAGAACAAAATTTTGACATTCTGCAGAACACTGAAAAAAGTATTTCTACCCCTCCAGGTCTGCAAGCCCACAGTCGAGATCCGGTAGCGAAGACAACCAGTCTGACCGAGAGAGCCAATCAGGAAGGGAGTATCAAAGCGGCTCTGAGGCCAACCAATCAGGAGACGAGAAAAGTGACCAATCAGAGAACGAGGCTGGCGCTGACTCAGAGGATGAAAGAGTTCAAGGGTCAGATGATGATGAGAAATCCAGAGGTAGCCAGTCAGGAGACGAGGGCCCACAAGGTGACCAATCAGGAGATGAGGGTCCGAGAGGTGACCAATCAGGAGAAGAAGAAGGTGGTGTCAGGTCAGGTGATGAGGCAGGCAGCCAATCAGAGAAGGAGGGGAGGGACCAATCAGATGATGAGAGGAGCCAGTCAGGGAATGAAGTGGAGAAGGCTGGAAGTGGGTCAGATGCAGAAAAGAAATCTGGTAAACTTTCAATTTTGCACTTTTCTTCCTTAATTCATAATACACGTACTACTATTATAAAATTGTTTCATAAAGCAAATTGTACTGTTCGTACTTAGACCTCATGGAATATTGTTGTGGAACAAAGATGTTATGAAAGTCTACAAAATTAAGTTACTGTATTAATTACTGAACATCTATAACTTTCCTATATGGATATTTATCTGTATATGTATTTCATAAAGCAAATTGTACTCTTTACTTAGTACTTAGACCTCATGGAATATTGTTGCGGAACAAAGATGTTATGAAAGTCTGAAAAAATTAAGTATTAATCTCTTAAGTTCTTTAATTTTTCTAGATTTAAATTAGGCCACACCAATTTAATTTCTTGGTTAACGGATTCGCCGCTTCATTTTTTTCTGATTTGCAAATAAAAATAAAAATTCAGAATCAACTGCAAAATGCTCATATTTTGCCCTGAACAGTTGAAAACAGTCCTTTTCATACTTCTTGTTAAAGTCATTCCATCTTTCAATGCAGTGGTATCATTAAAAGTTCAAAATTGTCAAAATTTTGAACCAGCCTGGTGTGTTGACTTAATGGCTCCTATCTTACAATTTTGGGTCATAATAGGATGCCTAGGCCTGTTTTTATTTTAATTTTTTTTTCCCCCGCCCGCTCCATTATTTTTGTAGAAAAGTCCGTTAACCAAGAATTAAATTGGTGTGGCCTTATCTGTATATGAAAGCTGAATGTGTTAGTTGAGTGCAGGTGTTCAAACAAAAACATTGCAAGGCTTATCAAAAGTGTAGAATTTTGTGCAACAAAAACTGAAGATCTTTGCCTAAAAGAAAGAAGACATTTGCAATTGGCTACATGTATAACTTACAGATTATTGACCAAACTGGTTTAGGTACCTGTACCTAATTTGTTAAGGTGCATGTAGCTCTATTTAACATTTCTACGCTTGACCCATCTGTAGTTAAGGGTTCCGACAGTGACAGTGATGACAGTGTGATTGGACGGAGACCAAAGAAAGCAGCAGCGTCAAGTGATGAGGGCGGGCCTGCAGGGCTTGGACTTGGCTCTGACAGCGAAGGGGAGGGTGGAGGTATGATATCTCAGTCTTCTATCATAGACACTGGCAGGGCTGGAAATACAACTTGCATATATGTAAGTTAGTGCAGGTAAAGTTTGGGCTATGCAGGTATTTCTGATGTCTACCTGCACCAAGAATATTCTGTATACCATTATACATTTGATATGTACAAAAATACCTACAAAAATATGTAGGTGCACCAGTGCACCCATAGGTGCACCAGTGCACCCATAGAAAAAAATTGGTTGCACAAGTCCAATTTTGGGTGCACTAAGGGGCACATGCACCCAGTATTTCCAGCCCTGAAATATGTCATTATTTTGGGCAAGTGAAATTGACCATGCACTTGCCCAATAGAATTTTTGAAAACTTGTTCAACTCTGACTGAAATCTCTTGTTTTTGTTTGTTTTGCCTTTCCAGGTGCAACACCTGTAGCAGCTGCAGCTGATGACTTGTTCGGAGACGCAGATGACATTTCTGAGGAAAGTGGCGATGAGGGAGACGCCAAGATAGGAGAGGAGATCAAAAAGGCTTTAGGAGAAGATGTAAGAAGGGATCATCTTCTTTTTTATGTTTACCTTCACACTAAATCACAGAAGAGAAGCATATTGAAACTGGTTTCCTCCTTCCCGCGGCGATGTCAGCTCCAGAGACACTAGAAATAAACACCTTCTGTCCACATTCAAAGCACGAACAAACAGATACAAGAACAGTCCTATTCCGTACATGATAAAACTACTAAACGAACAGTAACAGTAACAGTAACCTCTCCACATTTAGAACGTTATTATTATTATTTATAATTATTAATTTATATGTAAATATTAATATTTGAACCAAATGCCAATTTCTATATAGCCTAACTCTTTATGTGAAAAGTATGTAATTCAGCCACTTTATTTGGCTGCGATGTACTTTTAAAGGATCATGTTGATGTTGATCAAATGAACCAGTCATTCATTCATTCATTCATATTGTTAGACCACACCCACTTAATTTTATGGATGGCATCCTCTGAAGACCCTCATACTAGTGCGCGCGGGCAAAAAAAAATTCCGGCCTAAAATGAAAATGCTACTGAAACCACAGGAATACAAAGCTGGTACCTGTATTGTGAATTTGGCAGTATATAGCGACTTTTAGTACAAAACGTTACATGCTGACCTTTCGAGGAATTTATGAATCGGCACTGTACGTATGTACTGAGTTCTTGAGTCGTGGAACTTCGGTAGCCTGGGTGCCATCCTCCAGAGTTACCACTGGCTCCGTTTTGTCACTAACTATGCCAGGCCAGAGCCTTGGAGGATGTGATCTTTCTTTTTTATTTTTTTGAGAACAGGCGAAAAACAATGCGCGCGTGGATGTCATCCATAAAGTTAAACCAGTGTGGCCTTAGATAGCATTGTGAACATGTGCAATTCTTTCATAAAAGTGCTTCTGTGTTGGTGGTTACATGTTTAAAGGTAAAACTTTTGTTCTAACATAAAAAGAGAAATGCTCTTACCTAGAGCTTTTGACCAGTCTCTCTGATCTTCTACAGTAGACAGACAAAAGTTTTACCTTTAAAATGTGCAATTCTTGTCCGTTCTGCTAGGGGGAGCCGATGGAGGAGGGTGGTGAGGCTGAGGAGGAACCTGCACCTGAGACCAGGATCGATGTGGAGATGCCTCGCATCAAACTCAACCTGGGAAACTCCCAACACTTCGTCAAGCTGCCAAACTTTCTCAGTGTGGAGACAAGGTATGGCACTGTCACATCCTACAAATTGTTGTTTGTTTGTTTGTTTGTTTGGCATAACCAGTAAACCGCCTTTAGGCATAACACACCAGTTTTGCACATGTACATACATGTACAAGCTGCGTAAGACCAGACTGTAAGGTTTGAACCACTCACACCGGGAAGGACCCCTACTATTTTTGATAAGTGCGGTGGGTTCTTTAACGTGCGTGGGGTGTGGCTCTCCCCAAACACGGGACCTCCATTTAACGTCCTATCCGAGGGACGTCCCTAGCCGAAGTTAGGTCCTCATTTACACCTGAGTGAAGTGAAGAAAGTCGTGTAAAGTGCCTTTCCCAAGGGCACAAGATCGGTGACATGGGCTGTGAGGATTCAAACCCGCGACCTCTTGGTTCTGAGCCGAACACGCTACCGACTGCGCCACACGATCCCATGTGTTATCAGTGAAATTTTGCTCATTGAAAGGTGGGCAGAGCCTATGGTTTGGAGGACTAGCTAGATAACATGTGCAGTTATGTACACCTGGGTGAAGTGAGGAAGTCATGTAAAGTGTCTTTCTCAGGGACACAACGTCCAACCGGGAATCAAACCCGTGACCTCTTGATGTTGTGTTCGCTCACCTAGCCACAGGGCCATCTGACGCCACCACATTTCACAGTAGAGAGGTCACTATGATTAAAAAAACACTGGACATTTTAAAGTTTACCAGGGTTCGAAATTCATTTTTGGGAATAGGTGCACTGGTGCACCCAACCTAGAAAATTAGGGTCACCATATGAAACAAAACCTAATTGCAGGTCATACTGCTCCTCTTCTGAACTTGAATCTAAAATGGGAGCAAACTTCAAAATCTCAAACAAGTACTACAACAAATATTTTATCATTTTTCTGACGCTTAGAAACCAAGAATATCTGGTATACTATTATACATTTCTAATGTTAAAAATTCCTGCAAAAATACTTGGGTGGACCAGTACACCCACAGAAAAAAATAGGTGCACAACTCTGATTTTGGGTGCACTAAGGTTCACATGCACCTAGTATTTCAAGCCATGTTTACAGTATGTAACAGCCAGCCATCTTTTGTCATACAGTAGTATATAGTCTTGCCATTCTTGTACAATTTGATCCTGAACCAAAGTAATTCTCTCCCTGTGATTTCAGACCGTTTGACCCTGTACTTTATGAGGACGAGATTGAAGAAGACGAAATGATGGACGAAGAGGGAAGAACAAGGTTGAAACTAAAGGTGAGATTCACAGTCAAAGTCACCTTGCTGGAGTGCATCCAATGCGATTTCAGGGCAGCAAAACTGGAAATATTCTGAATAAGGCAATCCTTGTGATGCTGACACATATTGCTTTACATCAGTACATTTCAATCAGTATTTCATACTCTGGGCGTTTAAAACTGCAGAAACAAGCCCCAAGATGAGTCCTTTATTTTCTGGGTGGTACCCTAAAAATCAGCCAAGGGTCCTTCCAGTAACTATTTTCCATCAGAATTTTGGGATTTTTTGCTCTATGAGGGTCAGTATATATTGTGATAGTGTGGTTTCAACTCAGTATGTAGCTATAGATAAATGACTAGAATCTTGGCTTTGAAAAATTGGGTTTCCAAGCCCTAAAAACTGCACTGGATGCCTTTAAGTATTGTGCTAATTAAGTGGCTTTCACAAGGACACAATGTCTAGCCAGTAATGTCAGGAATTGAACCTTTGAACTGTCGATCCTGTATCTGCTTGCCTCACCACTTAGGTATCAGTTACAAATTTCAGGCTTGGAAAATATGATTTCAGAGAGTAGAGGCTGTACTTGGGGGAGAATGTGGCACTATTTAACAAGAGGTGGACACAATCACTGTTAACCCCTACCATAGCCTCCTTGCTAAACATGACCAAATCTCCTACAGGTAGAAAACACCATCCGATGGCGTAAGACTGTGGATGAAAATGGTTTAGAGACAAGAGAAAGTAACGCCAGGGTCGTCAAGTGGTCAGATGGAAGGTAAGACTGATTTAATCAAGCTCCAAGCTCCTGATTGGACCTTGAGAGGCTCCATGTCAAGCACTTGTTAATTAGGAGAATCATGGCCTACTAATACAGAAATTGTTTTAGACTTTGAGTTTGAGCATGTGGTTGTACATGTAGTTGAAATCAGAACTGTTCTGCATTTTTTTATCTATGATATTAGTGACTCCGATACTGGCCTTTTGCATGTAGTTCATTTATGCAACTAGACCAACCATCCATCGAAAACCAAATCTGTTCCTTTATTTCTACAATAACTGAAAAACGAGGAGAAGTTGAATTTATGTAACGATATTTATGGCTTCACCACAAAGTGGTGAAGACATATTGTGTTCCCTCATGTTTCTTCTCCTTCTCCTTCTCCTCCTGCCATTTCTTTAAATGGATTCATCTCTGCCATTTTCAGGCCAAATAACACAAAATTTGGCATGAAGGTAGAGTGGGCAAATACCCTGACGCGTTTTTTTCATTTTTTTGAAA